TAAATCATTATGGCATCAGAGGACATTCCCTTGATTACCTAAAATCTTATCTTAACAACATACACCAGTAAGTATATGCAAATGAAGTCAACTCTGCTATCCAGCCAGTAGTTGTAGAAGTACCCCAGGGTAGTGTTCTAGGCCCACTCCTCTCTCATCTACATCAATGATCTCCCCAACAAACTCACTCTCAACATAGACAAAATATACTTCATGCTGTTTGGCAACAGAGCCTTAAATATCCAACTTAATATATTGATAAATGATTCCCCTATATCAAGATACACTAAGGGTAAATTTCTAGGTCTTCTCCTTGGCTTTAATCTTAAATTTCATTCCCACAGCCAATATACATCCAAGAAAATTTCTAAATCATTAGGCATCCTTTCCAAGATATGATACTGTGTACCACAAACAACACTCCTTACCCTATACCACTCTTTAATACGTATATCCTTACCTCACCTATGGTATTTGTGCCTGGGGATCAACCACGGCTAACCGCCTTAAACCTTTAACCCCTTCAGGGTCCAAGGCCAAAATCTGAAGTGGTGCTCCAGTGTCCAAGAAATTTTGAAAAAAAAAAAATTATTTTTTTCTTACAGAATTAAAGAGTATATTTTTGTGAAGGTAATAAGACAAAAAACAAAAATTTCTGATCAGTACTTACCGAGATACAGCGGCGGGAAGATGGCCCAAAATGACCAGATGGCGGCAACATCAGTGACTTCCTCAAAATCCCATTTTTTTTATTTTACGTTTTTTATACTTTTTCTTTTCTATTTTTTCTTTTTCTAATAACATTTGTGGCCTGTGAGACCAGTATAATGTATATTGTATTAGTGTACACTCATTGTATTCAATGCAATAACTGCACTAATTTGTTTATCATTATATTACTTACAAAACTTGTTTACAAGTTCATTGTAAACAAAATGATGAAAATATTAGTGCAGTTATTGTGAATACAATGGTACCATATGGTACAATGGTGCCATAGGGTGCAATTGTACCATATGGTACAATGCCTGCACTTTAAAGGAGGGGCTGGGATATTGGCAGTTTGGAGGGATATGTTGTATATCTTTATACATACAGTGGACCCACGGCTAATGAATGCACTGCATAACGTTAAATCCACCTAACGAAGCGTTTGAGAATGAAAATTTTGGCCAGTGTAATGATAAAAAACTTGCCCAACATGATTCGTCCGGGATGTGTCCACGTGTGGCCTGAGCGTGCCTCAGCTGCCCCGTGGGTGCCAGCGTTTACAAGCCAGCCAGTGTGATCACATCTACACGTACATTCGGTACATTTCACATTATCCCAGCATTTTTAGTGCTTGTAACTGCAAAATAAGTCACCATGGGCCCCAAGAAAGCTTCTAGTGCCAACCCTGTAGTAAAAAGGGTGAGAATTTATATGGAAATTAAGAAAGAGATAATTGCAAAGTATGAAAGTGTAGTGTGTGTCTCAGAGCTGGCCAGGTTGCATACCCAACCCCAATCAACCATCGCTACTATCTTGGCCAACAAAACGGCAATCAAGGAAGCTGTTCTTGCAAAAGGTTCAAGTTTGTTTTCGAAAGAGAGATTGCAGGTACTCGAAGATGTTGAGAGATTGTTATTGGTGTGGATAAGCGAAAAACAGATAGCAGCAGATAGCATCTCTCAAGCGATCATATGTGAAAAGGCTGGGAAGTTGCATGACGATTTAATTAAAAAAATGCCTGCAACTAGTGGTGATGCGAGTGAATTTAAGGCCAGCAAAGGTTGGTTTGAGAGATTTAAGAATCGTAGTGGCATACATAGTGTGATAAGGCATGATGAGGCTGCCAGTTCGAACCAAAAAGCGGCTGAAAAATATGTGCAGGAATTCAAGGAGTACATAGAGACTGAAGGATTGAAACCTGAACAATTGTTTAATTGTGACAAAACAGGTCTGTTTTGGAAGAAAATGCCAAACTGGTCCTACATTGCTCAGGAGGAAAAGGCACTCCCAGGACATAAGCCTATGAAAGACAGGCTTACTATTTTGTTGTGTAGTAATGCTAGTGGTGATTGCAAAGTGAAGCCTTTATTGGTGTATCACTCTGAAACTCTCAGAGTGTTCAGGAAAAACAATGTCCTCAAGGCTAATTTGTGTGTGATATGAAGGGCAAACAGTAAGGCATGGGTCACTAGGGACTTTTTCTATGACTGGTTTCACCATGTGTTTGCCCCCATTGTGAAAAATTACCTCCTGGAAAATAAATTGGACCTTAAGTGCCTCCTGGTATTAGACAATGCTCCTGGCCATCCTTCAGACTTGGCAGAGCGAATTTCTGGGGATATGAGCTTCATCAAGGTCAAGTTTTTGCCTCCTAATACCACTCCTCTCCTGCAGTCCATAGACCAGCAGGTCATTTCAAACTTCAAGTAACTCTACACTAAAGCGATGTTTCAAAAGTGCTTTGAAGTGACCTCGGACACTCGATTGACCCTAAGAGTTTTGGAAAGATTACTTTAGTATCCTCAGTTGTGCAAACCTTGTAGGCAAGGCTTGGGAGGGAGTGACTAAGAGGACCTTGAACTCTCCTTGGAGGAAATTGTGGCCAGAATGTGTAGAAGAGAGGGATTTTGAAGGGTTTGGGGCTAACCCTGAGAAGCCTATGCCAGTTGTGGAATCCATTGTGGCATTGGGGAAGTCCTTAGGATGTAAAAGTTTATACAAAAAATAATTTTGTAATTAGATTTCTCTGTTTGCATGCTGCAGACAAGTTCAGTATGATACTGTTCAACTCTGTTATGGACTGGCAGTTACAGATGTGGACAATGATGGCCAGCTGGAACTTATTGTAGCTGGTTAGTGGGGAGGATGTGGAAGAGTTGGTGGAGGAGGACAATGAAGAACTAACCACTGATGAGCTGCAAGAGCATTTGCAACAGCAAGAGGCCACACCTGAGGAAACTACTTCAGAGGAGGGGAGAGAGAAATTGAAGAAGTTGCCTACGTCAAAGATTAACGAAATGTGTGCAAAGTGGGTTGAATTGCAAACCTTTATGGATGAAAATCACCCTGAAACAGCTATTGGAAGCCGTGTTGGCAACCTGTACAATGACAGTGTTGTGGCCCATTTTAGGAAAATCTTAAAGGAACGCGAGGTACAGAGCTCTATGGACAGATTTGTTGTGTGACAGAGGTCCTGTGACTCCCAAGCTGGTCCTAGTGGCATTAAAAGAAGGGAAGTAACCCCGGAAAAGGACTTGCTACCTCAAGTCCTCATGGAAAGGAATTCCCCTTCCAAACAACAACTTCCACCATCTTCCCTCTTTCCATCCTATCAATCATCACCAGATCTTCAATAAATGTAAGTGTCATATATTCTTTATTTAGTACAGTAGTAATTGTGCATGTCTTCTTCTTTTGTGTGTAGGAAAATGTATATTTCATATGGTAAATTTTTTTTCATACTTTGGGGTGTCAGGAACGGATTAATTTGATTTCCATTATTTCTTATGGGGAAAATTAATTCGGCTAACGATAATTTCATCTAACGATGAGCTCTCAGGAATGGATTAATATCGTTAGCCAAGGGTCAACTGTATATGCTTCTAAACTGTTGTTCTGGGCACCTCTGCAAAAACAGTAATTATGTATGAATGAGGTGAAAGCGTTGAATGAATGATGAAAGTATTTTCTTTTTATGGATTTTCTTTTTGGGTCACCCTGAATCGGTGGGAGACGGCTGACTTGTTGAAAAAAAAAATTAACTATTAAATCTGAATTTAAATGAGTAATAAAGGAAGAGGATATCTGGCAATACCAATTGTTCATTAAATTCCAGTAATGAGATTGTTTTCACGATTGTAACAATAATGAATAATTCTGAAAATAATGGATTTTGTGCATTTAATCCAAAATCTGTTAACCCCTTGAGGGTCTGTGCTGTTGTTCTATGGGTTTAAAGCCAGGGGTCCATGCCATAGTACTACTTGATGAGCTCAGCTCACTCAAGCTCACTCAGATAAGCTGTGAGCAGTAAATTTGGGCCTATGTATGATAAATTGGGTTTATGTGGCGAGTGTGCAGCATATAAAAAAAATTCTGCAGCACGCAGTGCATAGTGAGGAAAAAACTTAACTGTGTTTTTGGTATAAAACATAACTTTACAGTGTATTTTTGTGTGATTTTTATTAAATCTGGTTTCTTAGTCTCAGTTGATAGACTGGAAGATATGTTATGAAAATAGTGGTGATTTTGATTGGTTTTAGGACTGAAAATAGCTTGAAATTGAGCTCAAGTAGCAGAAATGTTCAATTTTTGCCTATGTTCAAGAGTAAACAAATCACGTCACATGTCCAAGACACCTCAACTGGTGGGTCTGATGTGTGTAGATGAATGCACTGATATTATTTATGCAATAATTACATAACAATAAATCTTCTATTTTTTGGTGTGAATAAAAATTCAAAATGAAATTCATGTGTAAAACCTGGAAATGTATCTGATGACCAGACGAAAGGTTATTTTAGCGCCACGAATGCCTGCATTGTTTATTCTGGACCCTATTTTGAAATTAGTGTAAAATTGTCCAAATTACCAATTTCTGATCTTTATTAGGTAGTTAAAATAGTTGATTGGACAGTTTCTTGTGCTCAAGCCATAAAATAGAAGGCATATTAGTGAAACAGCTAAGTAATTGGTTGACTGGAACAATATAATTGGCCTAAAATAGGCATAAAAATGGGCAAAATCACCAGTGCATAAATACTGCTTGCACAATAAAATTTGCAATAGCATAATTCTACCAGTTTTCCATCAAATGTCGTACTTTTCTTTTATTACCTTCAGATAAAGATTCACTAATATTTCATAATTTTTTTTTTTTTTTTTTTTCCTTTTTTTTTTTTTTTAATTCTTGTACCCTGTGGACACTTCAGATTGGGGGATCTGAACCCTCAAGGGATTAAATTGGGATGTACTGGTATATGATTAATAATATGCATGTTTTCTTTCAGGATATTTTGGAGAACACACCACTGCCACCTATTGAGAAACGCAAGTGTCCAGTGGAAGGCTGCGACTCCAGTGGTCATCTTGGCGGTCTTTACGAGAGGCATTTTTCCGTAGATGCTTGTCCTGTTTTCCACAATGTAACAAAAGAAGAGACCAAGGTGAGAATAACTTAAACTACAGTATACATAATAAATAGTATTACAATTATCCATACCACCACAGTGCTCTGTTTTTAACAATTAGAATGGTAAGCATTATAGGTACAGATAAATTTTATTGCACAGTAGGGCCCCACGTATATGGCAGGTTAGGTTCCAGGCTACTGCCGGAAAGCGGACATCACCAGAAAGCAGAATGCCATTTTTTCCACTTATGAATGCATACAAATGCCAGACAACAAGTTTACACTAATATATATTAAGCTAGCAGTAGAACTAGGCATTAAAAAACAAGAAAATTCAAATACATATGCAGTGCATTCATTACTCACCTTAAAATAATTGTAGTCTTAATGTAGGGCGAGAGCTGAGTAGTACTTATTTGTAGGAAGTCAGGTGTAAGTAGCCCTGGCTCCCCTTCCCAGACTTAATATACAATATTTAAAGCAGTAGTAGGTTGGTAGACAGCAACCACCCAGGGGGGTACTACCGTCCTGCCAAGTGAGTGTAAAATGAAAGCCTGTAATTGTTTTACATGATGGTAGGATTGCTGGTGTCTTTTGTCTGTCTCATAAATATGCAGGATTACAGGTACGTCTTGCTACTTATACTTACACTTAGGTCACACTACATGTACATGTTTATTTATACACGCTTATCTGAGTTTTCTTTGATTTTATCTTAATAGTTCTTGGTCTTATTACTTTTCCTTTTATATCCATGGGAAAGTGGAATAAGAATCTTTCCTCCTTAAGCTATGCGTGTTGTAAAAGTCAACTAAAATGCCAGGAACAGTGGGCTAGTAACCCCTTTTCTTATAATAATTACTAAAAAGAATAAGAAAATTGTCAAAGTGGGAAGTCTGAATGTGCGTGGGATGTTGTCCAAATGATAACAAAGAGATGATTGTGGGTGTTATGAACGAGAAGCTGGATGTCCTGGCTTTAAGTGAAACAAAGCTGAAGGGGGTGGGAGAGTTTCAGTGGAGAGGAATAAATGGGATTAGGTCAGGGGTTTCAAATAGTTAGAGCTAAAGAGTAGCAATAATGTTGAAGGATGAGTTATGGCAGGAAAAGAGGGACTATAAATGTATTAAATCAAGGATTCTGTGGAGTAAAATAAAGGTTGGATGTGAAAAGTGGTTTATAGTAAGTGTATATGCACCTGCAGAAAATAAGAGGAGAGAGAGAGAGATTTTGGGAAATGCTGAGTGAATGCATGGGGAGTTTTGAACCAAGTGTGAGAGTAATGGTGGTTGGGGATTTCAATGCTAAAGTGGGCAGAAATGTTGTGGAGGGAGTAGTAAGTAAATTTGGGGTGCCAGGGGTAAATGAAAATGGGGAGCCTTTAATTGAGCTATGTGTAGAAAGAGGTTTGGTAATAAGTAATAAATATTTTATGAAGAAGAGGATAAATAAATATACAAGGTATGATATAGCACGTAATGAAAGTAGTTAGATTATGTCTTGGTGGGTAAAAGGTTGATGGGTAGACTCCAGGATGTACACGATTATAGAGGGGCAACTGATATATCAGATCATTATTTAGTTGTAGCTACAGTTAGAGTAAGAGGTAGATGGGAAAAGAGGAAAATGGCAACAACAAGCAAGAGGGAGGTAAAAGTGTATAAACTAAGGGAGGAGGAAGTTCGGGTGAGATATAAGCAACTATTGGCAGAAAGGTGGGCTCGTGCAAGTATGAGTAGTGGGGAGTTGAAGAGGGTTGGAATAGTTTTAAAATGCAGTATTAGAATGTGGGGCAGAAGTTTGTGGTTATAGGAGGGTGGGTGCAGGAGGAAAGAGGAGTGATTGGTGGAATGATGAAGTAAAGGGTGTGATAAAAAAGAAAAAGTTAGCTTATGAGAGGTTTTTACAAAACAGAAGCGTTATAAGAAGAGTAGAGTATATGGAGAGTAAAAGAAAGGTAAAGAGAGTGGTGAGAAAGTGCAAAAGGAGAGCAGATGATAGTGGGAGAGGCACTGTCAAGAAATTTTAATGAAAATAAGAAAAAATTTTGGAGTGAGTTAAACAAGTTAAGAAAGCCTAGGGAACGTATGGATTTCTCAGTTAAAAATAGAGTAGGGGAGTTAGTAGATTGGGAGAGGGAGGTTTTGGGTAGATGGCGAGAATATTTTGAGGAACTTTTAAATGTCAACGAAGAAAGGGAAGCGGTATTTTCATGCGCTGACCAGGGAGGTATACCATCTTTTAGGAGTGAAGAAAAACAGGATGTGAGTGTGGGGGAGGTGCGTGAGGCATTACGTAGAATGAAAGGGGGTAAAGCAGCTGGAACTGACGGGATCATGACAGAACTGTTAAAAGCAGGGGGGGATATAGTGTTGGAGTGGTTGGTACTTATGTTTAATGTATGAAAGAGGGGAAGGTACCTAGGGATTGGCAGAGATCATGTATAGTCCCTTTATATAATGGGAAGGGGGACAAAAGAGACTGTAAAAATTGTAGAGGAATAAGTTCACTGATTATACCAGGAAAAGTGTACAGTAGGGTTATAATTGAAAGAATTAGAGGTAAGACAGAATGTAGGATTGCGGATGAGCAAGGAGGTTTCAGAGTGGGTAGGGGATGTGTAGATCAAGTGTTTACTTTGAAGCATATATGTGAACAGTATTTAGATAAAGGTAGGGAAGTTTTTATTGCATTTATGGATTTAGAAAATGCATATGATAGTGAATAGGGGAGCAATGTGGCAGATGTTGCAGGTATATGGAATAGGTGGTAAGTTACTAAATGCTGTAAAGAGTTTTTATGAGGATAGTGAGGCTCAGGTTAGGGTGTGTAGAAGAGAGGGAAACTACTTCCCAGTAAAAGTAGGTCTTAGACAGGGATATGTAATGTCACCATGGTTGTTTAATATATTTATAGATGGGGTTGTAAAAGAAGTAAATGCTAGGGTGTTCACTAGAGGGGTGGGATTAAATTATTGGGAATTGACACAGTTGCTTTTTGCTGATGATACTGTGCTTATGGGAGATTCTAAAGAAAAATTGCAAAGGTTAGTGGATGAGCTTGGGAGTGTGTGTAAAGGTAGAAAGTTGAAAGTGAACATAGAAAAGAGTAAGGTGATGAGGGTATCAAATGATTTAGATAAAGAAAAATTGGATATCAAATTGGGGAGGAGGAGTATGGAAGAAGTGAATGTTTTCAGATACTTGGGAGTTGGCGTGTCAGCGGATGAATTTATGAAGGATGAGGTTAATCATAGAATTGACGAGGGAATAAAGGCGAGTGGTGTGTTGAGGTATATGTGGAGACAAAAAATGTTATTTATGGAAGCAAAGAAGGGAATGTATGAAAGTATAGTAGTACCAACACTCTTATATGGGTGTGAAGCTTGGGTTGTGAATGAAGGAGCGAGGAGACGGTTGGAGGCAGTGGAGATGTCCTGTCTAAGGGCGATGTGTGGTGTAAATATTATGCAGAAAATTCGGAGTGTGGAAATTAGGAGAAGGTGTGGAATTAATAAAAGTATTAGAGGGCTGAAGAGAGGTTGTTGAGGTGGTTTGGTCATTTAGAGAGAATGAATCAAAGTAGAATGACATGGAGAGCATTTAAATCTGTAGGGGAAGGAAGGTGGTGTAGGGGTCGTCCTCGAAAAGGTTGGAAGGAAGGGGTAAGGGAGATTTTGTGGGCGAGGGGCTTGGACTTCCAGCAAGCGTGCATGAGCGTGTTCGATAGGAGTGAATGGAGATGAATGGTATTTGGGACCTGACGATCTGTTAGTGTGAACAGGGTAATATTTGAAGATTGAGACACTTATGCAACATATGGGAATCTTTATTCAGGAAATGTTTCGCCACACAGTGGCTTCATCAGTCCAATACAAAGTAGAAAGGCATAAGGAGAGGAGGAGTTTGAGGTAATCAGTCCCTCAGCCTGGAGTCGATGTGTTCAGTCCATCAATCTTGTAGAATATACATTCTACAAGATTGATGGACTGAACACATCGACTCCAGGGTGAGGGACTGATTACCTCAAACTCCTCCTCTCCTTGCACCTTTCTACTTTGTATTGGACTGATGAAACCACTGTGTGACGAAATGTTTCCAGAATAAAGATTCCCATATGTTGCCTAAGTGTCTCAATCTTCAACTTGTCGGTTTTTCAAACCATTCATCACAGGGTAATATTTAGTGAAGGGATTCAGGGAAACCGGTTATTTTTATAAAGCCGGACTTGAGTCTTCGAAATGGGAAGTACAGTGCCTGCACTCTAAAGGAGGGGTTCGGGATATTAGCAGTTTGGAGGGATATGTTGTGTATCTTTCTACGTATATGCTTCTAAACTGTTGCGTTCTAAGCACCTCTGCAAAAACAGTGATTGTGTGTGAGTGAGGTGAAAGTGTTGAATGATGATGACAGTATTTTCTTTTTGGGGATTTTCTTTCTTTTTGGGTCACCCTGCCTCGGTGGGAGACAGCCGACCTGTTAAAAAAAAAAAAAAATTTAAAGCAGCCCAGAGAGATAAAATACACATACAGTACACTCATTTTTTACCTTAAAATATGTGTAGTCTTAATGTAGGATGAGAAGCGAGGAGTCCAGTGGAACCTTGACTTAAGAGTATCCCAACTTAAAAGTTTTTTGAGATACAAACCGTCCTTGGGTCGATTTTTTGCTCTGAGTTACAAGCCAACATTTGAGTTACTAGCCAGCTCCCCCCCCCCTTCCCCCTCAACCCAAAACTTGGACACCTCGCTTGTTTAACCATGATTTCATGCTTTAATTCCATGAAAATCATTCTCTTTTTCTTTTCAACACTGTCCTTTACACTTACTCTCTTAGGACCCATGCTTAGAAAAATGAAATTTGGCCAAATAACTGTCATAAATGCAAGCAAAGCATGAGAGAACTGCTCCCACAGCGAGGTAAACAGTGCAGTGAGTTGGCGGCGTTTGTTATTATAATTACAGTGGACCCTCGACTAACGGCGGCATCAAGTAATGGCAAATTCGTCTAACGGCACTCTTTGGCGTAAAAAAAA